GAACAGAATCAAAAAGGGCGAGACTAAAGGGATAAATCCAGGAAACCAGGCAACGATCAGAAACCGAGAAAACAGGCTAAGGCTAAGGCTAAGGCTAAGGCTAAGGCTAAGGCTAAGGCTGGGAAACTAACGAGGGCTCTGTAGTGTAGCTATCTAGAGATATGCGCTAAACAATACTCGGCCGAGGGAAGGGATCAGAGTGAGTGTTAAATAGTGAGGGAGTGATATGAAACAGCTGAGTGCAATCAGTGTTGTGCAATTAGTGAACCAGCTGTGTGCAATCAGTGCTGTGAATGATGGGATATGTAGTCCGGGAAGATATGCAACAGTGTGAGTGCGAGAGTCAATGAAAATGGGAAGGGTGACCTCTGATGGTTAGCCGACGGAAGTTCATGGACCAGATTCGTGACACTGCCATTGGAAATACTTGCAAAACACGCAAGGCAGTTGAAGAAATATGTAGCAAACATAAAAGTTTTTTAATTAACGAATCATTTGCGTCATTAACTTAACTGATTTCACTGTCACAACGTTTCGGTTCATGACCTGGCAAGAACAGGTTAAAATCTGTTTTTAAAAATAGGCATACAAACAAAATAATAAACATATTAACAGTGAGATTAAAGACAAGTAAATGAAATGAAAATAAAGTTGCATTTCTAAAATTAAATTCTAAAAGTTTTCCCATTGACACTTTACTAAACATGTCCTTTAGAGAAATTTCGGAATAAAACAATTGTCTGATGATGACATTAAAGGGGTAGTTCACCCAAAAATTACAATTCTGTCATTAATTACTCACCCTCATGTCGTTCCAAACCGTAAGACCTTCGACTATCACCAATTGAATTGCAGTGGTCAATTTAAAATAAAATGTTAGTGAATTAAGCTACAAACCCGATCATAATACACAATGTTCCATATAACATGTATTTTGAGGTGCAGCTCGTCATATTAATGGAGTGTTTTCACTAGTTAGCAGTAAACCGGTTACCTCACCTGAATATGTTGTAGATTTGTGTTGGATGTCTTCGACGTGGAAAGCAGAATGAAAACATTGATATTTTATTTGTAAACATCATAATTTTTCAATTAATCTCATAAAACTAGCGCTAAACCAGTAGTAGTACTTACTGGTGGTGTAGTATAAACATGGCTGAAGGCTCGAAAAGGAAGAACAAACAAACTGATTCAACTGAGTGAATTATTTACGCTGGAACCGGAGTAGTTGATTCAAACTCAAACTCGTCATTAATTTACTAGCATAAACCAGTTCAAAAGAACCATTCATTTTGGAATTTCGACATTGCTTGTAATGATTCTAAAAAAGCACGTAGTAATGGGTGAAACAGTTCGAATCGGATCGCAAATCATTTGGTTTAGATGGGGAATTCAAGCGCGTATCGGGAATCATTTTATTTAGATTGCGACTTGGAGCGCGTATCGTGAATCATTTGATTTAGACTGGAACTTCGGAGCGGGTTTGAGAATCTTTTTATTCAGATCGGAACTTCAAAGCGCGTATGGCGAAACATTTGATTTAGATCGGGACTTCGGAGCGCAGGCTCAGATCGGAACTTCACAATTTTATGGTACTAATTAATATTTATGCAATAATTATGATCAATTGTTCCCACTGAAATTTTTTACAATTATTTTTCAATTAATGCAGTATTTCAAATTAAAATAGAGCCTTTAAAATCTAATTTTTGAAGGCAGAATACATCCTGGTGAGAGCAAAAAAAAGAAGAAGAAAAACCTGTAATTTCATGGTGTAACCACTAGATTATGTATCCACTAGCCCAGGGCTGTCCAAACTGGGTCCTGGAGGGTCGGTGTCCTGCAGAGTTTAGCTCCAACTTGCCTCAACACACCTGACAGGAAATTTCTATGCCTAGTAAGAGCTTGATTAGCTGGTTCAGGTGTGTTTAATTAGGGTTGGAGCTAAACTCTGCAGGACACCGGCCCTCCAGGACCCAGTTTGGACAGCCCTGCACTAGCCTCTATAGAGAGGCTTGTGAATTCCCTAGTTGTTTTTTTACATAATTGTTTACTTTTATTAGGTTGTGGATTTAAATGTATATTAAGGCATTCTCAAAGACTAATTTTTGTCAAGGTTTATATTTGTTTGTTGTTTTAAGTGTTGATTTGAAGTGTATGTTTTTGCATTATTATTACTACATTCAATCCTGAACACAGACATCATTTTGTTACACAAAACATTAAAATTATATAAAAATGTAACAAAAATTAACAGGAATGCTGGTTTCACTTTATTTTGATGGTCCCTTTAACACATTCTGTTGACTATAAGTAACATTGCACCTTCATGTTTACTAACTCTCATTAGAGTGTTAGTAGAGTATTAGTAGACTGGTAGGGTTAGGGCTAGAATAAGTTGACATGTACTTGCAAAGTTACTTGTAGTCAGTAGAAACTCTGTGGGGATCCATCACAATAAAGAGTTAGCTGATATTAAGCAGACAGTCTACTAATACTCTAATGAGAGTTAGTAGATATGTAGGTGCAACATTAATTATTGTCAACAGAATGTTCAAAAGGGACCATCAAAATAAAGTGTTACCGGAATGCTTTATCAGAGCTTAATCCTTGTGGGTCTGATCTGATTTTAACCTCTTATTTCAGTCTTCTGACTCATTTTGGCTATATGGTTATAGCCATACCAATTCATTTGAGTATGTATAATTCTGTATGTGTGTGTCTGTGAGTGTAAGTACAGAAAGTGTGTGTGTGAGCGGATGTATCAGTTTTACACTCTTGATGTTTTAGAGTGTAAACTCTTCCTTGCTGTTTACTTTTTTACTGCATTGTAGTTGAATTATTGATTTTGTTTTACATAGTTGCAGTGTTACAGTCACACCAGTTCATAGGTGTGTGTGTCCGCGCGTGTGTGAGTTGGTGTGTTGATTTTGCACTCTAGATGTTTTAGAGTTTCACCCCTTCATTGCTGTGCAATTTTATTCTGCATTGTGGGGGATTTGTAGATTTTACACACAAAAATTTTCTGTATTTTCGATTTTTTTCCCCCGATTTCCCATTCATTTCCTATGGTCGGTCATTTGTGACTGTAGACCATGAGTGTGACTATTTGTTTTATGACCACTTAGCTTTTTCGAATCATGCCCTCAATTTTTTTTGTGTTCACATACCAAGTGCCATGAAAGTCTCCAAGTTTCGTACCATTCTGGTGAAGCTATGATTTAAAAAAATTCCAAATGTAAAATTCTCCGGTCAGAAGTGACTGAAGACCCGTCATCAAGGTCTTCGGGAATGGTCCAGGAGGTGGGATTCGAACTCGGGGAACCAGAAGCGCAATTGTGCCACGGCGACGAACTAAAATTCGTCGGCGAACTAAAAGTTAGTAAAGCTGTCACGCGATCCTTACATAGGCCTACCTATCTTATGAAACTTTAAAAAAGTTACATCAGACAAATTTAGCCTCTTTTATGTTAAAGAAGTGAAGATTTGACATAATCAAAATGTGTTATGATTTCAATTAATTAAAAAAAAGTTAATATACAGTAACTGCCATTAATGGGGAAAAACAAACTAGATTTGTGCCAAGCCTCGAAAGTTTACAATGACTGGCATCGCCTCTAGTTTTGACTACTTTTTGTATCTGGAATTATTATATCTCTCGGTAAGGATAAGGAAATTTAAATAAATTCTTTTAGATGAGCCTTATTGATTAATTTTGCCTGGGGCCCCCATTTGCCTCTAAATAATTTATGTGGTTGAGCAAGCTCCAAAAGCCTGATACATCGTTATGTCGTTACATCATTACATACAAATGACAATGAGCGAGTCATTGAATCATTTATTCAACCGATTCATTCAAAAACACT